ATAAACTTGCCTTGCCTAGAGGTGAATCTGAAGTTAAGTTGATGATGCTGAGATTTATTCACCAAATTGCACCTTCATACCAATTTTATAGTGTCTAATATAAAGACAGCAGTGTAGTGCCAGTGTAGAGGATGGAAATCAGCCAGGACAACTCATGAAACATCTGTTAAATTAAGGTGTGTAAATCCACAAAGAGGAGTGAACCTCAGCAGGCCAGCTGATTACAGCCCGTACACTAAGAAAATTAACTGGAGCTCTCAATAGAAGTTATTGTGAACTGAGCCACTACAACTGATTCCTCCACCTACTGAATCCCAGTTTAACCTCTTCCCTACTCATTTTCCTGTTTACAGGTAAAGGCACCCTCTACGTGGTAGCCAAAAGAAAATAGAGCTATTTTTTTCTTCTTTTTCTCTGCTAATGTCTTACTTTACTGATTCAAGCTGAGTGCATTCCTTAGAATTAAAATACAGACTAACATAAAGTTTATATTCCCATAAGATAATATTATTTTATCATTACATTAATGTAGAGCAAGGTTCTGTTGGCATGCCATAAAAATGGGTGGTAGAAAGGTTCTTCAAAGAGCTACTTTTACTTTCTTGTTTTGAGTGCATTTCACAGCTGGTACTTTTTCACTTTTACTTGAGTGAAGAAGCTGAATCAGTACTTCAACTTTTACTGGACTATTTTTTAACAATAGTATCTGTAATTCTACTTCAGTACAGGATGTCTGCACTTTTGCCAACTCTCGTCATGAGACGGTAAGGACTACAGATTAATTTTGTTAAAAAAGAAAGAAAGAAGGAGCACAGGAAAATAGTGAAGAGCCAAGGGGCTGAAGGAACAACTGAGCAGATGTGGAAAGAATAAAGAAAGAGCAGGACACAGCACAGCAAAGCCACATGAATGGTCCTGTCCACTGTAAACAAGACAAACTTATCCCTGATTTGAATGCACTCTAGATAATTTTTATCTTTCTTGTGCCATGACTGAAAATTATGTATTTTTTTTCCTGTCAAATATCTGGATTGTTTCAAACGGGTGTTAGTTCACATGGAATAAGTGAAAACTTTTTAAAAAAAATTCCCATATGGCTGTGAGAAAGGTGTTTATGGCTTTTAAGCAGCTTTGATGCTTTGAGCTGGTTCTAGGCCCAGCCATGAGTTGCCCATACCACTTGGTCTGATCCATTTTGAAACATGTAGCAACCTATAATAATGGATTGGATTTATATAGTGCTTTTCAAGGCACCCAAAGCGCTTTACAATGCCACTATTCATTCACTCTCACATTCACACACTGGTGGAGGCAAG